TTATGATTTATTGATTAATATTTATTAGAGATTGTACTATTTATTGACTAATTTAATATATTTCTTAGTATTTTTTATATTTTTATAATCATTGTATTTATTGTATTTTCATTATCAATATATTTTCAATAATTGCATATTTTCGCTATAAATTTTCAATAATTCTTGGAGATTAAACTATTGTTCTTTATTAGAGATTATACTATTCATTTAGTTGACATTAGGAGCAATGCTTTCAAAATCGGACCAGACAGGCCGATCGGACCGGAAAAACTAGGAACTAGTCATATGGCTGGTTCCGTTTTATTCCAAAATCGTTATTTGGTAAAAAACAGTTGATTTGGTCAGTAAACCGTTGACTCGGGCGATCAAACATTGAACCGTTTACCCAGGAACAATTTTTGGCCCTTTTTTGGGTTTATTAAATTTTTAATTTTTTGTCAGAGCGGATAATTCATTCATACCAGAGGGTTGGACCGTTCGACTTGGGAATCGGACCCCAGAATTGTCCCATGTCCAGCCCGGTTTTAAAAATCTTGATTAGGAGTGTTCACGGGTTTGTTTGGTTCAATTGTAGGCTGCTTAGCCAATCAAATCGAACCTGGTCAGGTTGGGGAGTTGGTCACCTGAAACTAACTAACCATTAGTGATAACCGGTCAACTCGGATTGTATTAGTTTTTGTCGATTTTCAGTTTGGTTGGTTGGTTCAAAAGATTTAAACTTAAAAAAGTAAAATTAAAATTAAAAAGAAAATTATAGTGACATTATTAAAAAATAAATTTAAAATTTATTATTTTTGATATAAAACTATTAAAAATTGTTGAATTATGGTTGGATTAATTATTATTATTTTTGTATTGTAAAAAATTACAAATAATATATAAAATATAAATGATTAGTAATTATTTAAAAATTAAATATAAAACACTTGTCTACTCTTATGTATTTATATTATTTAACTTTTGCTTAATAAAGTCTGTGCATCGCATGAGTCCCCACTAATATACATCTATGGTCAAGTTATTCGATTTTAGTTGATATACAAATGGACAAAATGAAATTGATCCAACTTAGTCAGGTTGAAAAATGGTTGAACCAAAGCCGATCAGGAATAATAGAAAAATGGTCAACTCGAGTTGTGTTGATCGGTTTCATTAGTTTGATGAATAAACATAGCTAAAATTAATTTTTGTTATTTTTGTATTGTAAAAAAATATGAAAAGTCGTATATAAAATATAAGGAAAAATCTACGATGTGAAAAAGATATGATATCGAAAGTGTTTTGATCAATCAAAATCCACCTATGAATTTTGATAAATGATACTTGATTGGCTATCACATTTATAACATCGGTTTCAGATATCATTTCTTTTCCATATCATAGTCAAACCCTTAATATAAATAATTATTAATTTTTTAAAATTAAAAAATATAAAACAATTGTATACTTTTATATATTTCTATTATTTATCTTTCCCTTTATAAAATCCCATAATCGCATGGATCCCACTAATATCCTCCAAAATGACATACTGGAATCGGTTTTTCACCGAACCTGACTATGCGGAGCAAATGCGGACATACGCTGGGTTGATGTGGATTGGATTGATCATTGATTAATACATCTCCGGATCGAGACCGGATCCAGCCCAAAAGGCTAACATCATTCCCTTTGGATCGGTTTGTTGGGCTCATTAAAAGTAGAGATGCAACACGTGCTCGCAACTCTTTTGCCATTTTTTTACTTTTAAAAAGGACGATTCACGTGACCCTCGGTTTGTACTAGAGTGAACAATGACTGTTTAGTTAATGAGACGATCCAAAATCCAGAACTGTCCATCATTTCCGGTTTTCTTTTTCAACCGGTCACTGTATCCTTGGGCCTCAGCTCTTTGTGCTTAATTACTAAAATATCCTTTATTGTCAATCAAAACTACAACATTGGTGACATTCTCCATTCGTTTTATACGAGATGGGGACATCGATAGCGCCTGTGCAATTTCTCAATTTCTGGTGAAGAGGAGGACCCTGATCATATTCTCAATAATTCGCTTATAAACGCTTATAGATTGATGGTGGAGTACTTCCAAATTGAGAATTAATAGAAACGGGACCTTGGATTTGTGATTTATGCTCAGATTGGAAGCAGTACAAATACAAATATATATATATATATATATATATATATAATATAAATACATATAAAATTATAAGGTTTTATGTTTTATATATTTGTAATTAATTTTTTCAAATGGAATTTTAGGCTCAGTTTAGAAAGAGTATAAATGTAAATATGTATAATATAAATACATATAAAATAATATAAAATATAAGATTTTGCACTCTATATATTTTCATTTGTACTCCTTCCAAACTCAGCTTTAAGAAAAAAATGTACAATTGTTTTATGATACATTTGGAAAAACAGAATGAGAATCTATTCAACAATAAATCGATTCCTCCCCCATTCTAATAGAGAAAGCTATGAACCTATTTGTAAGCGTTAAATCCTCTCATTAAGGTGACATCAGACCTCACCAGAAATCTGGAAGCCCATTTGCTGGGATAGTCCGCAGCATTTTAGGGATCATTGTGATTGTTAATGTAGTTGAAGCGTGGACTGCTTGGTTATTGATTGCCTCAAGAAATGTATAACCCACCTTGGAAACTTTCGACAATCATGGTGGGATCTGTTCCTCGCAAATGGGCGCCTTACAAGTACATCCACCCTGCATTGGGAACATCTCCCGTGAATAATAACTAATAAGTACGAAAAATGTTCCCGATGCATGATAAGATGTGCGTGTGAGGCGCCAGGTGTGAGGAGCAGATCCGGCCTCTCGACAATCATAAAAGAGTGCTGGGAGCTAAAAAAGATGTTGGATCGTGGCCTCTCCTATCACCATGTCTTCTGTGAAGCAAACAAAGTTGTTGATTAGTTGACTCACACTGCATTTCTAAATATATCCCTTAACCCCGCCTCCATCCCCTTCTTCTTTTGCTTATTTGTTTCTCTTGCTCTTGGGGGCATCCTACCCCCTCTCTTGTGAAGTACCTTCTGTTTTAACAAAAAAAAAAAAAAGCCTTCAATTGGTAATCAATGCTTCCTTGTCTACCATGTAACTAACAAAACTTATCCGAATCAAAAGCATCTACTAAACAAAAAAATTATCCGAATCAAAAGCATCTACTAAACAAAAAATTATCCGGATCAAGCTTAACTTGATGGGGCTTCTAATCAAATGGTGGTTGGAGCTGGTTTTATTTTATGGGACTCTGCTGGAATCTTTATTACTTTTTGAGTCTAGATCTCTTGCTCACAAAAACTCTGTCCACGTCTATTCACATAACATCGCAATCATACAAGGAGAACATTTCATCCTCCTACATAATATTATATATGTGGAGATGTTCCCAATTCATAGAAGATAGTGTATTGTGGGTAGACATGGATAGAGTTCTCATAGGCAGAAGATCCGGAATCCTCTTAGAGACCCATTTCTACTTGAAGCTCAAGCGGTCCACTTAACTCTCCTTTTTACAGTAGAATTGGGAGCTTCTTTTATCATTCTCAAGGGAGATTCTCTTACAGTTAAGAGTTTATTCATTTATTGCACCCTGACTCTCCATATCCATGGAGGATCAGACATCTCATTGAAGATTGCAAACCCCTCATTGCTCAGTTTGTTGGACCCCTCGTGGGGCTAACCTTGCAGTGCACAAATTGGCCAAGCATGCGCTTTCTGTTTCCTCTCTTTTTACTTGGTCTTTGCCTCCAGACATCTCATTGATGTAATACCGAGCATGTTTCTTAATGAAAGCGACCTGTCATCACTCTGATAACATTATTTTGATGTTTATTTGTTTTTTCCCTAATATTACAGAGAGGGGTGCAATCGAGCTAATTGAGTTGAAGTTTGGTATGTCTTAGTTTGATTTGACTAAAATATTATTAGGTTTGAGGTAGAGTTTAAATTCGATTTAATCTCAGTTTGATTAAATATTCGATGAATTTTGAGTTTGGATTGAAAGTTTGAAAAAGAATACATTATTATATTTTATAATATATGATATATTTTTTAAAATATATACAATATTCTTGTATTATATAATATAAAAAATATTTTCATAATACACGTTATAATATATATTTTTACATTATATAATGTGTATATCTTTATATGTATGCATGTATACGTTAATCGAACTATGCTTACAAGATTTTGAGTTGATTTTTTTATTGGTTATGCTTGGATTTGAATAACTAATTGCGCTTTTCTGAAGGTTCAAAGTTCAAATTCGATTTGAGCTCCATCAAAATTTAACTCGAATCAAGTCCAATCAAATTTGAACCCGAATCCAAACATTGTCGTTTTTTTTTAAAGCAAAAAACAATGAAATCAAACACAGATCAAGAAGTTTTATTTATTTGGTCTTTAGGTTGTGTTTGGTTTCAATGCAAATAAACTTGCACTGATGTGAAGTTGTGACAGTGCAAATAATTTGAGTGTAAATTTTGATCTATTTTTATTTTAAATTTTAGCTTTTATTTGATTATATTATAAATGAAGTAAATTAAGACATGAACTAGAATAAAATAAAATCCAAAAAAAAAAAAATAAATAAGATTTTGTATTTTTTTATTTACACTCCGATACATTTATACTAATACAAATAAAATTACACTGCAATCAAATACAGCCTTATCAAAAAGCTAAAGAAATACTGAATCTGCTTCTCACACAGGGCGCCTCACACCTACTTTATACGCACATCCTACCATGCATTAGGATTTGGATTTGGGAGCATCTCCCGTGGCCATTTGGGTCCCACTCTCACCCTTTTGTACCGACACTCAACACTTTTTAACGGTCATTTACACGAAGGTTTGGTTTGTAATTGTTAGAAGAAACTAGGGTTATTTTCAATTTCGTCCATTGACAGACTTCCAGGGTAACAAAACCGCCAAAAAGGACACTGAAAAGTTGATTCTGCCTCCATCTCCACTCTCCACCCCACTATAAGAACCGCATGGAGGGGAGGAGGAATTGCGTCTGATCCAAGTCTAGTCGTCGAATTCTTTTTCCTGGTTTGGTCCGGTTGTAACGAGATTTCTGGTTTTCCGGCGAAGACAATAAAAGCGTTAGGGTTCCGATCAATGGCGGCCGTCAGGGAAGATAAGGAGCGCAAGATCGTGGTAGCAGTGGACGAAGGAGAGGAGAGCATGTACGCGCTCTCCTGGTGTCTCAACAATGTAATATGCGACAATTCCAAACACACCCTCATCCTCCTCTATGTCAAACCTCCGCGCGTCCTCTACACAGCTCTAGACGGAACGGGGTATTTGTTTTCGTCTGACATAATCGCGACCATGGAGAAATACAGCAAGGATGTGGCTGATTGTGTGATAGAGAAGGCGAAGAAGCTCTGCAGTGAAACTGAAAATGATCTCCAAAATGTAAGTCATTAGTTTTCTTTTGCATGGATAAAATGGTCTTTTACTCATCAAGTATTGGTATCAGGTTAAGGTGGAGACGAAGGTGGAGAGCGGAGATCCAAGGGATGTAATATGCGAGATGGCGGAGAAGCTCTCTGCTGATATGTTGGTCATGGGAAACCATGGCTACGGCTTAATCAAGAGGTGCGGTGTATGTTATCATCTCTTTTTCTTTTGTTTTTTTTGTTTTCCTGCGTTATTTCCTAATTCTGAATCTCTGTCGTGTTGATGTGGCGATGGGTTGGTGCTGATGATGCAGGGCTTTTCTTGGGAGTGTGAGTAATCACTGCGCACAGAACGTCAAATGTCCTGTTTTAATAGTGAAAAGGCCCAAATCTACGGCTGGGAATAATAGTTAAACATCTGACTGATTCTGCGCCGTTTGATCTTTGCTTGTCTATGTAATCTGTACTTTTTTTTAATGTGTATCTATGTAATCTGCGTCGTTTGATCTTTGCTTGTTATCACCAACAAGGCAACAAGAAACAGGGAACTTGCCTCAAGTTTCGCAAGATCCTGAGGGTCCAAATTACAGTCCGTGAGGACATGGAGAACGATGGAGGGGTTAGCTGCCAAGGGGAATTCTCTGGTGTGGATTCTCCGAAACAATGGCGTTGTTGTCGTTGACATGTTGGTAAAGGAGGGACAACAAGAGCAGCTACAGGTGGGTTGACGATGTTATGGAAATGCATCGAAGGGGCTCCACTCGCTGTGGCGTCCATGGGAACTGCCAAAGCTCGCAGTGCCCGAGCTTGGCCGAGAAGAAGAAGATGAAGATCTCAACTGTTGGAAATTTCTCAAACAGAATTCTATTTCGACACTACTCTTTCTTCCAACAGGATTAAACCATCAGGTTCCTTGTTTTTGTTATATATAGTTAACGCCTTAGGCAGAAGTATCCACACTATGTACTAGGTTGATCAATTAACTTCCATTGATCCATTCTCAAACCTAGATGTATAAAATCAAGAGCAATGGTGTCACAGACCGTCTACAACAGCCAAAGAACGGGAAAAGAAAAGAAAATGAGAATAAGGAAAAGTTAAAGAGAAAAAGATTGAAATGAATCGATCGGCATCGCCATTAACATTGCAAAAATTAATCCAACTAAGCTGTAAAACATTTCCATTTTGAGCAAATCATAATAAAACTCCGTCAGATGTTAGACTAACAAAAGACCCAGCTAGAAGGAAAAGAAAATCCAGAGCCAATTCACAAGCACGGAGCGGAGCGACGGAGAAATGAAAACGACCGGCGCTGCTTCTGGGTTCGAACGGGGAAGAAGAAGAACGGAAGGGAGTGGCTGAGAGGGGGTGCCGCCGCCGCTGCTCTGCTTCTGGTTTCGAACGGGGAAGGGGAGGTACTAGACGATGAACGGAAGAAGAAGAAAGGAGAGAGGGAGGAAGGGAGTGGCTGAGAGGGGCTGCCGCCGCCGCTGTTCTGCTTCTGGGTTCGAACGGGGAAGAAGATGAACGGAAGGGAGTGGCCGAGAGTGTTGAGTTGGTTTGTTACTGCTTAGTCCAATAAATCCCTATTATTAAGGGTGTCATTATTTGTTTGTTTTAGTCTTAATGTTTCTACGCTATTATTAAGGGTGTCATTATTTGTTTGCGTTAGACATGGATTGCTTAATTCTTGTTCAGTTTGTTATGTAAGGTTATTTAAATGTTGTTCTCGGTTTGTATTAGATAATTTATTTCTCCTCAATATCTGTCTCTTCTCTTTCTTAGTTCTTAACATTTGGTATCAGAGCTCCAAGGGGCCTGATTAAAATTTGAAGCAACAGTCTTTAAAAGTATGACAACATAAAGTTCATTTGTGCAACCAGCAATCCCACGATTCGATGGGCATTATGATCATTGGGCAATGCTCATGGAGAACTTCTTGCGTTCAAAGGAATATTGGGGTTTAATAGAGAATGGAATTCCTGCAGCACTTGAAGGTGTTGTTCTCACAGATGCATAGATAAAGAACATTGACGATCAGAAACTAAAAGATTTGAAGGCGAAGAACTATCTATTTCAAGCATTAGATCGTTCAATCCTGGAAACGATCCTTAACAAGGATACAACAAAGAACATATGGGATTCCATGAAACAAAAATATCAAGGAACATATGGGATTCCATGAAGGCAGGAGAATCGGTGAACGAGTATTTTGCTCGGACTCTTACCATAGCTAATAAGATGAAAGAAAATGGTGAGAACAAAGGAGATGTTGCTGTTGTTGAAAAGATTTTGAGATCTACGACTCCCAAATTTGATTATGTTGTATGTTCCATTGAGGAGTCTAGGGATATAGACACCTTAACCATTGATGAGTTGCAAAGCAGTCTGCTTGTGCATGAACAACGTATGAGTGCTCATGTTGAAGAAGAACATGCTTTGAAGATCACTCACGGAGATCAATCAGGAGGAAGGGGTCGAGGCCGTGGAAGTTCTAGAGGAAGAGGACGGGGAAGAGGCAGACAAAACTTTGACAAAACCAAAGTGGAATGTTACAAAGGTAACAAACTTGGGCATTTTCAATGGGAATGTCCAAGCAAGGAGAAGGAGGCCAATTATGCAGAAACTCAAGAAGAGATGTTGTTGATGGCACACGTGGATATGAACAAAGCCAGTAGCGAAGATTTGTGGTTCCTTGACTCCGGATGCAGCAATCATATGTGTGGGAAGAAAGAATACTTCTCAGATCTGAATGAGAATTTCAGAGATTCAGTGAAGCTAGGCAACAACTCAAGCAAGGCTGTAATGGGAAGGGGTAACGTTAGGCTGTAGGTGAATGGAATAGCACATATTATCATAGGAGTATTCTATGTACCGGAGCTGAAGAACAACCTRTTGAGCATTGGGCAATTGCAAGAAAAGGGGCTTGCTATTCTGTTTCAACATGGAAGGTGTAAGGTGTTTCATCATGAGAGAGGCTTGATCATGGATACGAAGATGTCTGTAAATAGAATGTTTGTGCTACATGCTATATCTCAGCCTTTAAAATCTGCGTGTTTCAACACAATCACTGAGGATTTGGTGCAGCTTTGGCATTGCAGATATGGACACTTGAGTTTTATGGGCTTGAAGACTCTTCAACAAAAGAAAATGGTAAATGATTTATCTCAACTTAAGTCTCCTTCAAGGCTATGCAAGGACTGTTTGATAGGAAAGCAACAAAGAGATTCATTTCCAAAGAAGAGCACCTGGAGAGCTTCACAAATTCTCCAGTTAGTACATGCTGATATTTGTGGACCGATCAAGCCCATCTCCAACAGCAAGAAAAGGTATTTGCTCACCTTTATGGATGATTTTTGATGAACGATAATTTGACCCGACCCATGAAACGACGACACGTGGACGCTAACTCAGCATAAGCGACAGCTCGGTATCGTGGTCCAGTACGGCTAAGTGATAGGCCCATAAAGCAGCTCGCTACATGGTAGCGGGGTAAAGGAGGGGCTCGCCACAACGCGGGCTACGGGTCCCCCGAGCTACCTCAAGGGATATTCCGAGGAAAACTTTAACTTGCGAGCTAAGAAAGCCGGCTCGCCTGAGCTCCCGAACGAGGCAAGTCATCCGAGGACCAATTCTACCAAGGGTACTTCTGAAGTATTCGAAGCTCGTTGCAAAGTAGCTCGCGTGGGCCGCACGAGCATTCCTCAGGAAGCTTCTATTTAATAATCCGTACCCGTCAGACTGGGCCACGTCCCTTTCGATAGTTTGCGCCCACGTCTCTCAGTAGGCGGAGGCGTGCCTGTCACTCTGAGGATGTGTCACTCGCCCGAGTAAGGAGTACATCCCAACGCCACCTGCTCAGTCCTGACATGTAACGGCTGTGGCAGGGACCCAGTGGCGGTTATGCCCGATCTCGCAAGAGCGCTCCAATAAAAGCCCTCAGGGCAAAGGAGAAAGGCTCTAGAGACCTCTAACCTCTAAAATATAGTGATAAAGCGTGACCTCCACTCTTAGCTCTCGTTTTCTCTCTTTACTCTCCATACACAGTACTAACTTAAGCATCAGAGTATTCCCACCGGGCAAGTCCCCGGGAATCCTTCCTTTCATCTTCTCAGGTGCCGCGTGTTGCTGACAAGGAGCCAGCCAGTCGCCAGCTAGGAGTGCCCGGATCACGCCGCATCATTTGACGCCGTCTGTGGGAATACGCTTCAAAAGGCCTTCCCCTTTAAATTCTTTCAGTTACTTCTTCTCCCTTGAAACAACCCAGCGCTCATGGCTTCCTCTAGTGACGTCGAACGAGGCACGAAAATGGGTAACTCCAAGGAGCAACCCCAGTCTCCTACTATCTG